TTGCTGCAGTGGTTCTGAGGCAACTGAGAGTATTAGTAAATCATTCTTGTAAAGTGCAATGAACCATTTGAATACAGATATAATTTTTAAAAATCGTCCAAGTAGCTGTTTACAAATACAGATGCCTTCAGAAAATTTTATTTCAATATTTTCATTAAAAATAACACGGAATGTCAAACTTTTGCTGTGGATTTTCTAGAACGTAAAGTTACCATCTTTATTATTTTAATAAAACTAAAAAGTGATAAAAAATAAAATATTTTGAGAGCTAAGAGGTCACTGTTCAGGCAGAAAACGAAAATATTTTTACATTACATGGTATTTGTCAATTGAAATGTTTAATCGCTTTACACAACACTAAATACTACATTTTACATACTAAACCATAACCCATCATATAGGTTTATTTCTAATCAAGTACAAATCCCTAGACCTGAATCAACACACTTTGTAAGCATTTTTCGTAGATGAGAAAGTGTATACAAAGGTAGTATTGACTGTTAGTTGCAACTATAAGGAATTCTGTGAACTATCATATCAACATCTCTTTATAAATAATGGAAGAAAATTCAAGAATAGAAACCTATAATATTTTATGTCTTGTCCAAGAGAGCATCAGAGCAACAAAACGGTAATTTGAATGAAAACATCTAGATTAATACACACATTTAAATCAAAATTGGTCACAAGCCTACTATTTCACACAACTGGTTCTATATCTCTGGTTCTTATTTCTCTAAGGTATATCCGTATCACAGGAACCTGGTCACAAGCTTGCAACTCTGGCATTTTTGACCCTGAATGTTTGTGTCTTTACAAATTATAGGCACTGGTGGGACAATTGCGTCATCAGTATGCCGTTTATAATGCCCTGTCTTGGTTTTGACATTAAACAATGGTTGCTGTCATACCTGTCATGCTTACACGTGTTAAAATAAACTTTCAGTTAACATATATAGCTTTAAACACATTTACTGAGTTTTGTTTTTGGCTACTTAGTAGTCAGTGTTATTACAATGGGAATAAATAAATGCCAAACAAAGATTTTAAAACTTTAGAAGTAATAATATACACATAATGACCGGGGAAAATTATTTAATGGATGTCACGACTCATGTGGGTAATAAACTTGTGAAATGATTGGACATTTATCACAAAAATTATGAATCAGTTGGATAATTAACAGATTTATCAAGAGTTGACCAAGTAACTAAGAAAGTATTACAAAAATATATGAAAGTCATAGATGTTATATTAACAGATCAAGCGGTTGGATAATTTTCATGTTACGTATTATATTTTATCCCGGAGGAGTCACCAATTTATTACGTAACATATTATAATTTCGAATAGCCTGAAACTGAGTTAAATGATAAGTTAGATTTAGAAATCAAATAAATGTCGATATGTATCTAATTTATGATACACACTTGCCAAAAAGATTGATACACACAGTTTATAATACAAATATATTTTAATATACAAACAATAACGCAATTTACAATAACAGTTATTACAAATAATGCTCCACGTACAAAAGTTTTACAAACTTACAAACAATATTTAGTCCTCTATCTGGTCTGGAACTTCCTTGATATCTTATCGAGAGTTCACGATGAGCGAATTATTTATCAGCCACACACGCTGAGTTATCCACTGATGAGTTATATAACGTTTTCGTAAAAGTACTAATGCCCGATGTGAATCCGCTGAAGTTAAATAGTTTGTAATATTCGAAATCTAGAGATGTTACCGGTCAAATATCTGAAGTCCCGATTAAAAAGCGTTATAACAATCACAGTTATAGCTTCCGAGGTTT